TATTATGATGGCACATGTCGTCCATATATATATATATATATATATATATATATACATTTCTACAATTATAAACATTTTTTAAATGTCCAACGTAAAAAGTACGGTTAGTAGAGGTAGCAATGGTAATATTGGTTTTTATATAAGTGCTGATTGGCAATGATGACGATACGGTATCGAAGTGATGACACATTCATGACAATTTTGACACTTTTCATTTCCTACTTACAATGGATGATCCAAATTTGAATGACGGTCCTGATGCTGCTGAAGAGTGACAGTGAAGCATAAAGGAAGAGACAATTTTCAACTAGTTCTCAGATATTATAATTTGAAATATAATTTACAATTTAATGATGCACTAAAATGTGTCTACTATCAGTTATCTTGCTACTATACGAATTTCATTTGCACTCATGAAAAGTGGTTTATTCCTAGAACCTCTGTAGATCCGGCCAATATTCCTATATTTCAAATTTAGCAATTGGTATTTTGAAGTGAAAATGAGGAGAAAATGAAATTTTTGTTGTATGATTTCAGAGCGTCTCCTTGTTTTTTTGCTCAAGAAGCATCTTAATGAAATGAATTGAAATGCAAACTCATTTATATGAAGAGCGAAACCGATTGAAAGCAGACATTCAACAAGGACATTTGAAAACAAGCGCAAATTATGACATCAGGTTTGAATCGATTACTTTACGAGTGACCCTTTTTCGGGGACAGAATCGCATCGTTGTTGTAATCACATTTAGATCTATTTTACTGGCATCTAGAGGATTAGGAAGCAAGCGCGGTCAATGAGGATAGTGGACAATGCGGAGATGGACATATATGTGCAACGACCGCGTACAAAACAATCAATTGAATAGCTCCTGCGAGCGGGATAATCTAAACTCACTCTTGCAAAAATGACCTATATCTGGACAGTTGTGATACCCTTTCCCATTTCCTCGCATCTATCAAAGTGAATCAATACATTGGGGACTAATAATATTTCAATAAGAATGCTGAAAATTAACATTTCCAAGTTCCGATAACACAATATGTCCAGGAGAGTGAGAAATTCAAATGCCAAAGTCAGCTTAAGAAAACATTCTCTATTAACACTGGTTCCAGTAATTTAGATTTTTGATCTAATTGGTCGCTGTATTGACTAATTATTTGGAAAATTCTAAAAACCAAGTTCTTGTTATGGACAAATTACTGGAACTAATGTTTGAAAATCCATGTGAAATACCAAGATATTTGTTGTTGAATTTCCATCGTCATGGGTACCTTATTTAATTGGTCGCTATGGCACCTTCCACTACTCCTATTAAGCATGACAATCTCGGGTTATATTGCGAAATGAGCACATTTAATGCCAACAAATGAGACGTCAAACAAGTATTGCGAAAATCATAAAGATAAACAAATAAATACTACCATCATATACCATCGATGATTTTTACATCGATACTCTAAAAATTTATTTCCAAACAATATTGAGGGAGGCGATAGGTTGCGAAGAGCGGATGGACATAGTATGACATTGTCCACCTCACATTACGTTCATACCATCTCCGTAATCGCTTCGTACCTATCGATCGCCATAACATGTTGCTGGCAATTATCCAATGCCTAGAGTCATTTTCATCAAATGGTGAAGTAAAAAAGTTCGTTGAACCTGACTTCTCTTCCTAACTTCTATGAGAAAAAAAAAATGTATATATATAACTTCGCTTTTTGACTAATGGAATCATCATGTTCCAATCTAAATTAATAACTTGGACAGACATCGAAATTTGTGCTTCCATAGAAATCGCTTAAAATAATACTATCAAGGATAAGAAAATATCGTAAGAAATAAAACTACTTATTGATAAGAAAAATGAATGAACCAGCAGTAAATCTAGTCAAGGAATGAGTCTGTCCGAAACAGAAAACCATTATCTGAACACTGAAGTATATGGGATTAAAAACGAAACGAAGTAATTATATTAACTTTGATTGTTTAAACTAATGAAAATAAAGTTAGCTGAAATTCTTCCAATCTGTAAAAACAAGCTTTACTAGTGAAATTTCGAGTGAATAAGCAATAATTTTCTGCTTAATTATTCCTTTTCCTTATTTTTTAAAAAAATGGAATTTTCTGAATGCTTACTCGAAGTATATTTTGCAATGATGACCACATACTCACTTACAGAATATACTCACTTACAGAATATATTATCGAAGATTACCCAAATGACCTATACAGTGTCATCAAACAAATTGACCGTTAAGATACTGAAAAGCATACGGATTGTCAATAAATGAAATACCGCTGCAAAAAGAAGGAATAGAAAGTTTGGGGAAATAAGAACAGGAAGGAAATTAATGGTGAACATCTTTGGTTCATTATAGTTTAAAAAAAAATTAAATTTCATCTAAATTTCAAAAAAACAAAATTAAACTAAATTTCATCGATTCAGCTAGCTTTAGAAGAATTCGCATAAGGATGTTTGTTGATGAATGAAATGCTATTCCAGAAATCAATAACGATTAATAATTTGATGTGGGGGAAAAAAGAGAAGAAAATGATAACAGATTTTCCTTGTCGAAGTTAAATCCTGCTATTAGCCTCGGCGCAAGATTTCATTGTTTATGCTATTTATCCATTAAGCTGACAACTTCAACATGTGCAACTCAGTGAAGAAATTTTTTGTAGAATAATTTTGAAATTTGTAAAATGCATCGTTGATAATCATTACTACATTCATCTCTGCTGCAATTATTCATATCTCACTTCTTAGCTTAGTCAGTCGATATTGTAAATCTACTGACCTTGTCAATATCAGTCGTACGAATAATGTCAACAACATGAATGCAACAGTTTCTCTTGTTTTTTAATAAAAAATATCATTCAGAATCAATCAAACTTGTCGTTTCAGCTAAAATTATAAGTAAAATGAAAAATTTATCGCTAAAATGATAAAGCTAATTACGAAGTATCAAGTTTTTACCCGAAATGATTTACTCAACAATCAGCAATGTTTTCCTTTGCTACATTCATTAAATTCTGAATGAAATTAGATCCGTGTCCAAATATATGTACATTCCGTTGTTCCACCAAAGTCTCGGGAGTTTTGAAATTTTACCAAATTCTCGGGAGTTTTGAGACGATCGGTTTAAATATCAAAATTTAATGGCATCACTCATATACTACTGAGTTTTCTGAGAAGTGATACTAAATTAAATTCGCGAGAATATGGTATAATCCAGCGACTGACACAAGAACTCTTTATAGAACTTGTTTCTAATTTCCGTTCAAATTCACTGGTATTAATTTCGTAAACCTTTTTAGGGCTCCTTTTTCTTTTTTTTCTGCAACTTCCATAGAAAGCATAATCTTCACTTTTTTTTCCATGAAAAATAGGATGAAAAAAAAGTCGACCTTTAGCAGCCCTAATTTTCCGACTATCTCTTGGACGTAAGCTTTCGAACTTTCGAACTGCAAAAGTGAAACATAGCAACGTCAAAAACATAATCGTAAAGAAATACTGGAAATTTCCCTAATAAAATAAATAGGATTAAAGTTTTTGCATTAGTGAAATTTATCCAATTGCAAAAGTAGGCTCGTATGCCATAAAGATGAATAACACTGCAAAAGATTGTCTAGATGAGTGCTACTAGTAGAATTTGGCCAATACAACCCTTAACTTCATGTCAATTGCTTCTTTTTTCTGGTCTGTTGAATCAATTATTTAAAACCCTAAGGAGAAAGGCACCAAGTTTTTGTGTATTGTACTTTTTTTTTCAAACAATTTCATCCCATGTTCACATTTTTCAAAATTACTAACAAAGAGCTAAGATTTTGGAAATGAAAAAAGAAGTTAAATGCAAAAATTTGATCTTTCAGATCTAGTTAAAGGATTCTCGACGTAACAACTAAGAGAGAAAAGAAAAAGAAGAGTTGCTTCTAACCCAAATGGTAACTACTCTTAATGGATCATATCACATATCAATTACACTCACATCCATTTGCTACAATTATTAACTGGCATTATCTTGTCTTTCTCAGTGAATCTTTTCAAGTAATGAATTAATTTCCTGTCACTCAATTTTATTCCGTTCTTTCATACGTGCCTGCATTCCTGAATGACAAACAATTGAATTGTACAATGTGTTCCTTTACACTCATTAATAAGAAGAGAGACTATCAATTATATAGTAGCATGAAGAATAATGTTACCATAGCAAAGACCACTCATACATCATTTCACTAAACATTAACTGCAAATCACTCCCCTCCCCGTTTTTCCGCAGTTGGCATTGCCCCCGCACTTCGCACCAGTAAAGATCGCTCAACAGTCACATCTTGACCTAGTAGCAAAGGATATTCCGCTCTATGCTTTCCAATGGTTCGTACCTGTTCTAGTACTCGTTTTGATAATTTGACGCAAAGCTGGTGATGTCATGCATGTTATTATGGATTCAGTGACGGATGATAATGGTATTAGAACGGATTTGACAAACAGTAATTTTAAATTTGTGATCGATTCACCAGAAATCACCAATCAAGCTGCCATTTCTTCAGAGTAATATATTATAATAATAATTGGTTAATTCGTTTATATAAATAATTAATTGAGCAGTTTATACAAATAATAATAATTAATTAAGTAGTCCACACAAATAATAATAATAATAATAATAATAATAATAATAATAATAATGATAATAAATTAATTAGTTTATATAAATAACAGTTGTAAAGTAGTCTTGTGAATAATGGTAATTGATTAAGTGGTCTTTGTAAATAATAATGACTAAGTGGTTGCTTTGTTATCACTTTAAAGTGAGTTCAATGAATTGCGAGACACCTCTGCACTTGAGATGATTGTAATTTTGACTCAACTTTGACCTGGTAATGTATGGTGTGCTATGATCTTTTACGTTGCATTATTTTGATATAACCTCAAATTCCATGAGGACTCACTGAAGCTCTGCCACTACTATGATTGTTGTTTATTGCAATCATTTCAAGGACTAAAAACTACTTAATCTCCTCCTTCTTCCTTCCTATTCTCTTCATCGTTTTTCATGTTTCTCTGTTCTATTTCTCCTTTTCCCTTATAGATTTATTTGTTAATAGCTACATATATTCGTAGGTATTTAAGTACTTGCTGACTATTTATCTACAGCTTTTCCTTTCAGTCCGGTTATTCCACAAGCATGCGGCAAAAAATGGAGCGAATCTAGGACTGACTGGGCAACTAACGGAACCTACGTGCCGTTGCGTGATCGCATTAAAAAGCGAATTGCCAGAGGCATACCATTCTTTTCACTTGAAGTAAGTATAGATTTTTAATTCTCGAAAAAAACGTATATACTAATTTCACCACAAAAAAAGTTGTTTTTCTGTTCATTTTAAAAAACTTTTTTTTCAATGTTTTGAAAAAATTATGCCTTGGATTTAGTTTCATTTTATCACTGTTTAAGCAGAATATAATTTTGAACTTGATAGATAAAGAATATCCAATATTTCTATTAACAAAAAAAGTCGACTTTTCGCTGTAGTTTGAATTTGATCCTAACTTCGTCTTACATCTACTTTTACATTTTACATTTAATATTTCTCAAGCCATATTAATTTGTAGCTCTAACTGTAGTTTGTTTCTTTTTTCAAACTTAACGTTATTATTAATATTGAGGCTTACAGCTTGATCTTTTTCCTCTTTTTTGAGATATCATTAAATAAGCCTGCACTTTTGTCACTATATTAACATGACATAGCAAAAAAGATATTGGTCGGAAGTGATTATGATAGTGTTTACCATTATCATAATCACTTTCATAATGTCATGTTTACTGTAGTGTCGCTTTTTCAGTTTTTTCCGCCGAAAACAGCAAACAGCGTTGCCAATTTTTTCGCACGTCTTGACCGCTTTCGTGAAGGAAATCCGATGTTTGTTGATATAGCTTGGCATTTCGGGTCCGATCCTGGTTTGTTAATTAAGCTGGTCGCTTCGTTACATTGTTTGTAAGCACTGCAATGTTTATTTTTGTCGCACATTACGAAATGTTGCAATAGATGACAGGAATAATTTTTCACAAAGGTAACTTTTTTCTCGAACTCAAAATCTAAAAAGAAAAAAGTTGCTAAAGCATGCTACCTTCATTTATTTTATTATCCTCCTAACAGTATTACTCAGGATTTACTTACATCAGAAATTATACTTTATCCGCTGCAGTTTACATTGTTGATCCACTTTAATTTTAGAACTGTTAAAGTCTTGCGTGACTCTATCCGTATTTCCCGAGATTTAAGGTAATATCAACAATGAAACATCATCATCCTCAGTGGCAGCAGGATGTTTAGACTATTGTGGGTTGGATACGATGCTGCATATCACATGCTGTCCATATACAAAAGAGCAATCAATAAGGCATTTAGAACAGAGTAAAGCATTGGGACTAAAAAATATTTTTGCTCTTCGTGGTGATCTTCCTCGACAGGTAAGTCATGGCGATAATATTTTTGGTTCAGTAAGTATTAATTAAAAAAGTATTGAATTATCGCAGGTAATGTGGTGTACTTGAAAAGAAAAACCTCTAACTCTCTTCGCTGTTTTGTAAATATTATTACATCCCTCGCCCTTGTAAGCCACACATGTTATATTGTTTTCATGCTTCACGCTTAAAGATTTCGCTTTTTCAATAGTAATTGTTCGAATATCCTACCTTCGCCGCGAAGACAGAAAAAAAACGCATATAGTGTCATAATTAGGTGACAACTGTTATATCAGTGTTAATCAGCTGTAATTCAACTTTACATTATACTGTTCTAGATAAAGGTCGGCTACTTTTACTTTTTAATATTTAACACTGTACAGGTTAGTGATAAAGTTGATGAAGTATTCTAAAATTTGTCGGTATTTTTACATGCAAATGAAACTTCTGAATATATTAGACATACATTTGGAACTGTCATAAAATTGCAGGACGAAAATCCACTATTGTACAAATATCGAGCTTTAGACCTCATCCGATGGATAAAAGAGGAATATAACGATTACTTTACGATTGCTTGCTCTGGTATGTTTTGGTCTTCACCTGCATTTAGTAATAGTAACAATTACATACTAATAAAATAGTGATCATTAAAGCTATCTACCACTCAGGGTAGGACATCTGATTGTGAAAATGCGGGAAACCTTTGAAGAAGACTTATAATAAAGTGATTATAAGAAGGAAGTGATAACAGTAACTGTATATTGCATTAGAACTTTATATCTACTGCTTTTGTTCTTGCTTACTAGAGCAAAGAAAAAATTTACAGGCTATCCGGCAGGACATCCTGAAGCTCCGAGTTATCGAGCTGACCTTTTATATTTGAAAGCGAAAGTAGATGCGGGAGCAGATTTTATTATTTCTCAGATAATTTTTGATGGGAAAATATTTCAAAGTTTTTTGCGTGATTGTCGCGAAATTGGTATTACTGTACCAATTATCCCAGGAATCTTGCCAATCCAGGTTTCCACTGACAGATCTATTTTTCGTTCTTGTTTGATGAAAGATTTGCATGCCAATCTTCTTTTTTTCATCAGTAAAGAATTTATATTCGAGAAAAAGAAAAACAAAAAATAAATGGACGACTTTAATTTGCATTTACAGAGTTATGAGAGTATTCGTCGTATCGCAGAATTATCACAACTGATCATACCCGATTCTATCCTTGCTAGTTTGGAACCGATCAAAAATGATGACGATGCCGTACGTAATTTTGGCATTAGGCATGCTGTCGATTTATGTCAAACACTTTTCACCAGTGGTAGCGCAACATCTGTACATCTCTTTACACTAAATCGAGAAACTTCTTCAAGGTGATTTAATTTATATTTCAAATCTTGTTATCATTCTGTAGAGGTGGATGGCAACCTTATCAAGTATTAATAATTGCTATTTGTTCAATCAAATACAGGAATTGAAATGCTTTATTATGGTTTCGTAAGTTTCATAAGATAGAGTTATTATGGAAGTGCTTTACAGACTTTATTATGCTATTCATGCTTCAAATCACGAACTGTCTGTAGTCCACTTTCTGTCTTTCTTGCCTTCAAATATTTTTTATTTTTGTTCTTCATCTTTGTTCCATCCTGTTTTTCCGTTTGTGATAAACGGTAATTAGAATTCTTATTTGTTATATGCAAGCATGAAACTTTCGAAATTTTAAGGGAAATTTTACAACAATTGGGGCTCTGGCCACGTTCACCAGTGCGTGCCCTGCCTTGGCGTTCGTTTGGTGAAAATCATCCTATTCGCTGCAAGGAAGATGTGCGACCTATTTTTTGGTCAATGCGACCGAAATCTTATATTTTCAGGACCCGTGTAGGTTTTTTGATGCTGCACATACATTTCAATAATTACAAGCCCTTACATTCATCTCTTTCATGAGATCGCTGATTCCACACCTTATCATGTTGTGAAAATAATAAAATTCTAGTGCTTTCATTTGCATATAATTAGATAAGTTTCACTACACGTAATTCATTTGGATTTACATTTTTATATATATTTGTGACTAGTGAATAATGTTGATAGGAATGGGATGAATTCCCGAATGGTCGTTGGGGTAACAGCAGTTCGCCAGCATTCAATGATCTCAAAGATTACTATTTATTCTATCTGAAAGGACAGCCAACCAAGGATGAGCAACTTCGAATGTATGGTGAACGTTTAGAAACGCTTGCTGATATACAAAAAGTATTTGTCAATTTTATCACACAAGATAACAATGAAAATGGTGTAAAAGTAAGCGCCATTACTGCTGATATTGCTTTATTATTTCATGTTTAACTTGATATGAAAAACTAGAAAAAGCTATTATTCTCACCCGGTACAAAAAACGGAAGTAATCAAAAATTTCGTTATAATCATCGAGTTTTAGGTGAGCCAGTTACCTTGGAATGAGCGACATGATGGTATACGAGCTGAAACATCACTTATAAAGGATCAGTTATTGTGGTGCAATGCAAATGGATTTTTGACAATCAACAGCCAGCCATCCGTTAATGGAGCCCCTAGTACGGATCCTTTTGTTGGTTGGGGAAAACCAGGTGGCTATTGTTATCAGAAGGTTCCTTCCTTGTCTATTTTTGCAAACTCATGATATTATATCGTATTATTATTGTTTAGCTATTGATATTTTTTTGAATGAATGAATTGTTGAGGTGTAAAGAATTCGAGATTCGAAAAATAAAGTCATGTTTTCTTTTATTCACCGTTCTACATGGTTTTCTGTTTTTTTAATTTTAATTTCCTTCAAGTTTTTGACCTGTACTTTCAGGCTTATCTCGAATTCTTTACATCACAAGCAAATGCCGAAGTTCTATGGAGTCTTTTGCCATCTTATTCGCGTCTTAATTGCCATATTGTTAATCATGATGTAAGATTTTCGTTTCTATAGGCTTATATCAGCAAGAGATATATAGATGCTTCTGAAAATTGAGACATTGTCCGCAAATCTTGTAGGCAACAATTGATTGGACAAATAATGAAACGACGATGCCGATCGCTGTTACTTGGGGCGTATTTCCGGGTTCTGAAATTGCACAGCCAACAGTGGTTGATCCACTTTCATTTCGTGTTTGGAAGGATGAGGCCTTTAGTGCTTGGTTAAACTGGTACATTTACTCTTCCTCTTGTTTTAAGAATAGCTATCTTGTTTCTTTAAATTTATATTTTTATTAAAAAAAGTGTTTATTAATTTAGGTCATCCATATACGCCGAAGGAACATCGAGTCGTTGCTTGCTAGAAAAAATTTATAACGAATATTGTTTAGTGACTCTAGTAGACAATGATTACCCGAAACCAACTATTATTTTCGATTGCTTGGCTCAGCTTATCAACCGTTAGTAGATCCAAATTTTTGTTACAGATAGAATTAGAGATGGCTTTTAGGTTTGCATCGCTGACATAAATAAATATCATTAAGTGATGTGATTACGGCTTCATTTCTTTGGTTTTTCGTTTTCCTCATATAGTTCTGCAAATCAGCTCGCTGATTTAGAACTGATGATAAGCATAGTTTTGGATGAATATTACATTTCTGCTTGCGATTATTGTTGCTATGATCTTACCACTGTTATATGCAAATACTGGATTACGCAAAAATAATTGCACTTTTGCACTAATGAACTTTGCTGTTTCATTATTTAATACATCCTTAAATACGTCATATCATTTTATTGCTTGTTTATTGTTTTGTGTTTTCCGTCAATAATTAATCCCTTTCATTTACCGTATATTTATTGTAGATGGGATAAATAATGAACGAATCAATGAATTCTTACTTTCCAATTGTCTAAAAGTTTTGGATATCTCGGTTATGAGTAGATCAGTAATTTGCTGATTCAGGATTGATTTACTACAACTTTAGTATTGGTATTGGACTACAGTAATATTCATAAAGTTAGAGGATGTGATGTACACGAACATCTAAATTAGTTTTAAGAATTAAATTAGGCTGAAGCGTATTGTTGAACTGAGTGTTTCATATTATCATTTCAAATGATTTATTTATTATTGTTTGCCTTGGATGTAAGAATAATATCGGACAAAAAGCAAATTCGAGAGTTGTATTTCATGGCTTCAACTTGCTCATCATGCAGTGAGATAAGTTGCAATATCAGAATGCGTTTGACCCGGAACTACAGGCATGAAGAAAGGCAGTTCTGTGGCAGTTCAAGAAATTGCAAAGGAGACAAAAGTCTTGAAGTTGAAGAATGCTGCTATCAGTCAGCGAAAGATGACAATGATTAATTGACAGCAACTGTTTGAGCTGATATTGAGGAATTAACTTTGATGATTGATCTCTATTGGCAAGAAAATACAAGAAATGAGTGTGTAATATAGTCACATTTACTTATGAATCTATTCCGATCACCAATGTAAAAGGCGGTATAATTTTACGCCAGCGTATTGTATGCGTACATTAGTGGAAAAGTGTAAATATTGGTAAATCTAAAACAAATTGAAATGCAATAGAATGCATTACCAGTTTTAAAGCAGCATGTTGATTTACAAATTTTATATAAGAGGAAAAATGAACGAAATAAATTCGCAGTCAATCGTATCCCTAAATAATATCCACAGAAAAGATGGATGTAATTCTTGGCTGATTCACACAATCTTTCTGAATCCTGGCGAATCATATTATATCTGAGACAAATATGCTTGACAAATGGATAACAGCAATGCTTGCAACGAGAGGCCTAAATTTTTTATTGCAATGTGATTATATATCGTATGACCAGTACTTCAAAAAATTAACCCCTGTATTTATCTTCCGCCAGCTTTTTATCATCTGGATAGTTTCTTGCGCACTTCCAAAATCAGAGAGACGCAGGAAGAACTTTCTAAGAATTCATGAAACCTCGAGATATCAGTTAAACAAATTTATTTCTCATTAACAAATAGCTGCTGTTTGCCTATTTTCATTATAAGAATGATAAACAGATAGATTTCGTTACAATAATTTGACATCATAGCAGAACCATAATTACTTGTTTTATTGGTAAAATAATAAAGAATTTCGAGTAAAATTTTCATTCGAATTGAATAGATCAATAGGCAGGCATTCCATTTTAATTTTAATTGCACTTTTTTTTGTTAATTTTGTTACTAATAAACCATGACATTGCACGTTCTACGCTGATAGTATCACTGCTGATATTTCCCATACATCATTGCAAAAACTTCTGACTTGCCAAATATGAGAGATTTGATTAACTAATCGGTATTCCTTACACTTTACTATGTGACACCTGCATTGTCAGCATTCATAAATTCATCACCGAGTTTTTTATTAACAATTGACAGATGTACAATCGAAAATTTAGATGTTGAAATTTATTAGCAAAAAGTAGTACAACACTCAGCAAACGCACCCCAGGTGAATTGCACATTTGCGCCAATAACGTGGTACAGCAGGTAGTTGACCTTAAAAAAATATTTCTTTTTCCCGTATTATTTTCAGGATGAACTGGTCCGTTGTCTGATCTGCGTTACTTGGCTGCTGATATCGTTGATAAAATTCTTGAAAGCATTTGGATCTCGTAAGCATTTCTGCTGCTTATCCTTAACAAAATTTGTATTTTATCTCGAAATCGTAATAAGAGCATCGAATTGTCATCTATTTTTGATCAAACACAGTTGTCTTTTTGATCAATAATTTATAAACAAATAAATAAATAAGTATATATATATATATATATATATATATATATATATATATATATATATATATATATATATATATATAT